AGAATGACAGATGGAACTTCCTACTGTGCCTGTCATTTGTTTCTAGGATGCAATTGGCTTAACATACGCTGTGGTGCTTGGCTGCTCAGCAGCCTGTCAAGTGCTGGCTTGGATTAGGGATGAGGAGGAAAGGCCACCAGAACAAGCAATGCTGGTTTCTCTGAAGGAGAATGACTATCACTAAGCCACCCAAATCCACAGATGAAAGCCCTGCTCTATTTAAACTCCTAGAATACCAAAGTGCCATGTGCTTTAGGAGTAACCCTGGACCCACTGACCATTCTTAGGAGAGCCTGAGGAAGGGAGGGACTAGGGCTGGGGACTTACCTGAACTGCAGGATGTACTTGCTCTCAGCAACCATGGGCATGAAAGTAAAGGCCTCTGAGATACACATCTCAGGGACTCTTGCCTCAGCCCTGTAGCACATTGTGCATCTGTCCCTGGTTTCCAGTGGCCTCTGGTGATGACTGGTTCATAAGAACACAGTGCTGTTTGCTTAGTGAGAATTCTCATGAGTCTGTCCATAACATGCAAATGCTATGGGCTGGTCAATTCACCTGGCTCGGCATCCTTAAGGATACTATTACAGATTTCATGCAAATTCTAAAAACAATTTTGCAAATCCAAAGGATTTGTCTTTGAGCACACAGACAACAGAATGCAGCCAGCTCACACCATTTGGGAGTCTGAGCTGACTGGGACTCAGCTAGACTAACAGATAATCAGTTCTGCAAATGTTTAAGAAAATCACTTTTAATACACATTTCTAAGTATGCTCCAAAGTCTCTTCCAGTGTTTTTTTCTAGGCCTGATAATCAGTAAATATGAAAAAACAAGGGGTGTATACTTTGTTCAGAGATGCCTTTAGAATCTGAGGGACCTAAATGAGTGACTACTGTTTTGGTTAAAAATCAATTTGCTTATAGGAAATAGACTCTCTCTATAGGGTTACAGATATTTACATGAATAAGTCTTAGCATGCTGTATGGGAAGAACACTCCTAGACATTGGGGGATAAGGTGTAGTAGTTAGAATAACTGTCTTAGTTACTTTTCTGTTGTTGCTGAGACAAAATTAAAAAGGGAAAGGTTTATTTAGCTCACAGTTCATGGAGGTTTCAGTTCAGACTCAGCTGGCCCCAAGGCAGGGTGGCACATGGCAGAGGGCAACAGTTCATGGTGGTGGAAGACAATAAAAGCAACAAGAGTGAAAGAGAAAGAAGAAAGAGAGCAAGACTCTTTCACCCCCTTATACTGTATGCAGGCTGCCTGCCCCAGTTTGGGTGCAGCACTCACTCTCATAATTGTAGCACTGGACCATGAATTAGTCACAAACTCTAGAAGCCCACCTCCAAGACTGCATGAGGCTTTGGGGGGCATCCAGAAACAAACCATAATATTTTGCCCTGGCCCCCCAAAGTCTCATGCACATTCCTTTATGCAAAAGGTATTTTAGTCCATGTCTAACAGTTGCAAGAGTCCTAAAACTTTTGGCATTGCTGAAAAGTCAAAGTCCCAAGTTTCCTCTGAGATTTAAGACCCTGTACAAATGAAAAGAAAGTTAAACACCTCCAATATTCAATGATGTAAGATAAGACATTTCTATTCCAAAAGTTACAAATAGGGGGATACAAAGGAATGGGACCAAAACAAGTCCAAAATCCAGCAGGGAAAGCATTAAGTCTTGTAGTTCCACATTTAGCATCTGAGGCAATCTGTAGCAAGTTGTGAGTTCCAAAGGGCTTGGTTGCCTCTGCCCCCATGATACTTCCAGTGGTACTAGCTCCCATGGCCTCTCTTGTGGGCCTGTTTTGCTCCCTCCTTGCAACTTTCCTTAGATGATCCAGGTTTCTGGCTTTTCCAAATTTCTGGGTTCTCCACTGCACCTCTGGCTTCCCACTCACAGCTTCAAATATTGCCCTCTCAGAAGCATACTGTCTGAACTCCCAGGCCTCCTTCTGAAATCTGAGTAGGAGCCTTTCCAGCCGCAGAACTCTTGCATTCTGCATGTACCTACACCCAGCGTCATGTGGATGATGCCAAAGTCTGCTGTCAGCTGGAGCAGTAGCCAGGCTTTCTTTTCTTTTTGCTGTAGGGGTCAAGTGCTCTTATTGTCAAGCACTCTAAACCTGAGTCTGAGAAACAAATTCTCTATGCTGCCAGCATTCTGGAACATAGTGTGGCTGCCACCATTTTGGATCATGGAGGAGAGAGAGTGGCAGGAGGGAGAGAGGGGAGGGACCATACGTGGTTTGCTTAACCTCGTGGCAAGTTCAAACCATGATGTGTTGTTGATTCACAACACTGCAGAATTTCCTGACAGCTCAGCAGAGCTCACAGACAGGGGCACAAAATAGGACATAAATGGAATATTATGAAGGACATAACTCATTGACCAGGCAATCAGTCAGGGTGAAATTTCTACATTCAACATTCATATGATTCTGATTCCCAGTCCACATGACTTAAGAGGACAGCAATGTCAGAAACCATAACTGCATGGCAGGATGATAAGTCTCCACCCTGTGGACAATGTCTCCTTTGACTCTGCACTCAGATTTGTCATATACTATGGCCCTGCTGTCTGATATTCAAGCTGTCTATGGAGAGCCTTTCCCTTTATCTGATGTTATCTCTCCCAAGTCCACATAAGGAGGAGTGCTTTCCTGGTCCTTTCAACATGGTCTGATATGGTTTCCTTGCAGTGAATCTCCTGAGCTCCACGTCCCCAACCTTCACAGGGACTCAGCAGGAGGCAGCACCTCCACATCTACTCCTTCAAAGTCTGATACACAGGAGACTCACAGATCACATTGAAAACATGACTCACAGTGGACACATTAAACATTTCTCAGCAAGCAAAACTTAGATCACTGAGCAAAGGGATTTCTATTAAAATTGTTATCAGTATTTTTCCTGAATTTGCTTAGACAGCTAGCTTTCTAGTATGAATTTATTCTTCCAATGTACAAATGTTTATCAAGCTTATGTTATATGCCAAGAGTTACACTTAGTCCTGGAGACATAGCAATAAGCATTCAGACAGAAATTCATGCCTTTTTATTGGAAGGGATTGGAAGAGTCAGTTAAACTGGTCAAAAAGAAAATTTACGAGATGTCATCTTGGTGATGAAGTAATGGTGAAATGTGAACAGGAAAGCAATGGGTGTGTTGGGACAGAGACTGGTCAGGGAGGATCCTGCTGACAAGGTAACATTTGAGTGGACACCTGAAAGAGGTGAGGGAGAAGGCCATGTGCATGTCTGAGGATGGGAATTCTAGGTAGAGGGCAGAATTCTGTAGATGGAAGAATGTGGGACTACCAAGAGGTTGTGAAGAGTAGAAGAGAGTAGGGAAAAGAGAGGAGGAGATGAAATCAGAATGACAAGTGATAACAGACTGTGGGAGCCAGTGGTAGAAAAAACCACTGGAAGGTTTTCAGCAGAGGTGCCATTACCCTACATTCTGGAAGGTCAAAGGAGAATTGAAAGGGGCCAGGGCAGTCACAGGGACACCAATGAGGGGCTACTACCATAACCTAGGTGACAGACAATAGAGTCTTGGACTCCAGTGTGCTGGTAGTGAAAATGCCAACAGTAGTGATATTCTGGATTTGTTGTTAAGAGATATTAGGCTGCTGATGGGTTGGATATAAAGTCATCAAAACAAGGGGAAAATAAGGAAGGATGGCCTGGTTTTTGAGAGGAACACATGAAAAGTGTTTGGTGAAATAAAGGGCCTATGAGAGAAGGAGGTTTGGAAGATGGTGTGATGAAACTTATGCTGATTTTCAATCTCCATTGAAAGGTATAAAGAGGGTAGAAGCTTAATATGACAGTAACATTTAGAAGTAGACCTTTGGAAGGCGATTAGGATTAGATAAAGTCAGCAAGGTAGAATACAACCATGATAGAATACTGGTAGATTTACAAGAAAAAAAGTAACCAAAGGCCTGATGGATGAAGACACACACACACACACACACACACACACACACACAATATCTTGTTTGCTTGTTTTGCAGTGCCCTATGATGCCTTAAGTTTTTGTTACCAAGAAGGCTATCACTAGATGAAGCCAATAAACTTTGAACTTCCTGAACCATCAGCCAAAATTTTTGTAACACATCCAGTCTGTGATATTGTGTTAACGACAAAAAAATGGACTAAGACAGAAATGTACTATTAAGAATTCAGTTCTGTATAAGTTGACATACTAGGCACCTAGGTAGAAATGTCCCCAAGGTAGTTGACTATTGAAGTCTGGAATTCACAGGAGGGATCTGACATGGGGAGAAACAAGTGCTGTCATCAGAACAGACTGCATTTAAAGCCATGAGTATGGATGACATCTTAGAGGTGGGGTGTAGAAAGAACTTGGCTATGGGCTCTCTACAGGTTGGTGAAATTAAGACAAAGTCAGTGAAAGTGGAAATAAGGAAAATGCAATGTTTTAGAAGCCAAAAAGAATGTTCTGAAAAAAGCAGGCAGCAATGTCCATATATACACTGGTCATCATGCTTATTTTGAGACAAAGTCATTCATCATTGACTCATCAGGCAGAATTACATATTGCACATATAAATTTGAATTTCAGCCTATGATTATGTCTTTACACACTAATTCTTCATTCTTGGGTAAAGTGGCCCCTTGAGAAACTTTGTGAATTTTGTGCATCTTTACAGAGAAATGCACTCAGTCACACACAGGACTACAGTGTCACCAGGGGTTCCCAGAGCCAGTCCAGGAGTTTCCAAGGGTCAGGTTCATAATCAACCCTTTCCTATACCCACAGAGGTTTTCTTATGGCATTAACCAAACTGTTTCAATGAAAAATTAAGATATCATAGGTCTCTTGTCTTCTCTAGATGTTTCCAAGGGATATAATGGGTTAAATTTCCTGGGCACTCAGAGTGGCTATCAGGGTGGACGGAATACAAAATCTGAATAAGCTGGCTTGCTTAAGGCTGAAGGCACCAAACAAACAAATGCAAGACTCACCACCATCTCCTGGACCTGAAACATCTCAGCACCACCAGGTGTCAGTCGGTTAGGGAATGAAATGCTGACAGATGATCCAGGAAGAGCGCTTGGGCCAGTGTTATAGACCTGTGGGTGTGGAATATACAGTCAGCTTCAAATAAAAATAAAACATTTTTATTCCATGCCATGTAATATGTACTCTCAGATTCTTTGACTCACACATGAAATTCAGGTCAAGTGACATAGTAAATGATGGGAAATTTTGAAAAAAATAGAAACCCTCCCAATAGGTATCCAAAAATCTCACACTTTCAAATTACCTATTCCATTTTAGCATTTTCTTATTCTTTTCCTGTTAAGACTATGTTTATTTTTTAAATGGCTAGAATTTTACTCACAGACTGTATTAGGTGAGAATTTATAATAATCTAGTGGGTCTCAAACTTCAACATAACATCAGAATCAACTGTACAGATGGTGTTGAGGAGTGCTGGGTGGAGGTGGGTGGGGGGTCATGCCCAGAGTTTCTGAAGCAGGTCTGGGGTAGGGATGAAGCATCTGCATTTCTAAGCAGCAGCTGCTGGGGCTGCTGCTGGCCCAGGACCTCCTCAGAACCACATTAGTAGTCCAATCTCCTTTCTTAGGTAATTGAAACCTTAGAAGATCAAAGGAGTTATCTCAAAACCAAGGGATCTGTAGCTTACAGAAAAGGATGTTTTTACTACATAATCTACCTTATTCAACTTCTAGGCATTTGTACCTAATTATTAATATTTTTTGATGACATCTGTGCACCTCTGTTCTGTTCCAGCATTTGGTCTTATAAAACTTTATCCTTTTCTCCTCTCTACTATCCATTTCATTTTCTGTATCCAGAAGTCAGTCATATCCCAAGAAATGAGGGGGGAGATGTTGGCCATAAAGCGACCATACAGAATAAGGAGACAGAGCAAAGACTGAATATGAAACCCAAGGAAGACATGGAATGTGAAGGAGAAAAATAAAGATGATTGGGTAGATTGAATGTAAATTAATGGTTGCCTAAACCAGGGTTAGGGAGAAGAGGGAGTGTGATTGGTAGAAAAATAGAATTTCAAAGATGTCCATTTCTAATTTGTGGAATCTGTGATGTTATGTTACATGACAAGAGAAAATTAAGGTTACAGATGGAATTAAGGTTGCTATCCAATGACTTTCAAATTATGACACTATCTTGGGTTAACCAGGTGGATACATAATTACAAGAGCCCTTATATAGGAAAGAGGGTGTAGAAGACTCAGAATCAGAGATACAGCTCCGTAAAATATGATCATCCATTGCTGGCCTGGCAAATGGAAGGGACACATAAGCCAAAGAAGCCTCTAGAAGATGGAAATGACAAAACATGAAGGGCTGAGTGTTCAAGTGAAAAGAAAGAGTTGCATACTTTTCACTTTATATTAAAAGCTAGAAATGATTAATATTGGTTAAGGAAGGTATGTCCAAAGCTGAGTCAGATCAAAAGCTAGGTCTCTTGCACTGGTTAAACACATCATGAATATGAAGGAAAAGTTCATAAAGGACTTGAAAGTGCTATTCCAGTGAACGTGAATAATGAGAAAGCAAAACAGTCTTATTACCAATATGGAGAAAATTTTAGTGGTCTGGACAAAAGATCAAACCAGCATACTGCTTTAAGCCAAAGCCTAATCCAGAGTAAGGCCCTAACTATCTTAATTCTATAAAGACTGGGAGAGGTAAAGAAGCTGCAGGAGAGAAGTTTGAGGCCAGCTGGGGGTTGGTTCACAGATTTAAAGAAGGAAGTCACTGCTATAACATACAAGTGTAAGGTAACATAGTAAATACTGAGGCTGCGGCAAGTTATTCAAAAGATCTAGCTATCACTGCTGAAAGTAACAGCAATGAACAGCATATGAAAAAGCCTTCTATTTGAAGAAGCTGGTATCTAGGACTTTCATAGCTAGAGAGGAAAGGTCAGTCCCTTGTTCAAACCTAAGGCCACCCCAACTGTCTTAGCAGGGGTTAATGTACGTGTGACTTTAAGTTGAAGCTGAGGCTCATTTACCATTTTGTAAATCCTATGACTAAGAATTACACTAAATCTACTTTTCCAGTGCTCTATAATTGGGACAATGCAGCCTGGCTGATAGCACATCTGTTTACAACATGGTTGAGTGAGTATTTTAAGCCCACTGTTGAGACTTACTGCTCAGGCAAAAAAAAAAAAAAAAAAAAAAAAAAAAAGTTCAAAATTTTACTGCTTATTGATGATGCATGTGGTCATTTGGGAGCTTTGATGGAGATGCATAAGAAGATTTTTGTGTGCCTACTAAGACAACATTTATTCTGCAGCCCATGGATCAAGGAGCAACTCTGATGTTCAAGATTTATTATTTAAGAAATACATTTCATAAAGCCGTAATTGCCACAGATAGTGATTCTTCTAATGGATCTGGGGAATGTAAATTGAAAACCAAAGAAGAATCGTCTTTAAGGAAATTCATGATTCATAGTAGAAGATCAAAATACCAATTTTAACAGAAGTTTGAAAGACATGGATTCAATCTCTTACAAATGATTTTGGGGGGTTTAAGATTGCTGTGGAAAAAATAACTGCAGATGCGGTAGAAATAGCAGGAGAACAAGAATTAGAAGCAGAGCCCAAAGATGTGACTGAACTGCTGTAACTTCATGATAAAACTTTGTGATGAGCTGCTGCTTACACAAGCAAAGAAAGTGGTTTCTTGTGATAGAATCTAGTCCTGATGCAACTGTAGTGAATACTGTTGAAATGACAAGAAAGAATTTAGATGATGACATAAACTTAGTACATGGAGCTGTGTCAGTGTTAAGATAAATTCCAATTTTGAAAGATGGTTTACTGTGGGCAAAACGTTATCAAATATAGAAATCTTTTGTACAAGACTCATCAAAATAAAAAACTTTAAATTTGTCTTCTAATAAACTGCTACAAAAAAAAAGAAAGAAAGAAAAAGAAAAGAAACTGCCACAGCCACCTTTTGGCAAATACCATCTGAACAGTCTTCAGCCAATAACAGTAAGGCAAGAGCCTCTAGCAGCAAAAGAAAACCTTGTTCACTGAGGGAAAAGACGATTGGTAGTACTCTTTAGTAATATAAAGCAATCGTGTGTGTGTGTGTGTGTGTGTGTGTGTGTGTGTGTGTGTGTGTGTGTGTGACTTTTGAGACAGGATCTCACTCTGCAGGTCAAACTGAACTTGAGCTCACTTTGTAGCCCCGGCTGGTCTTGAACTTGCAATGATCCTCTGGCCTCAGCCCCCAGAGTGCTGGGATTACAGGTGTACACCACCAGGCCCGGCTAATAGAAAGTGTTCTTAAAGTATGCACGTTTTTAGACATAATGCTATTGCACACTTGCTAGACTATAGTAGAGTTTAAACATAACTTTTGTATAAACTAGGAAGCAAAAAATTGTATGAAATTATCAGGACATTTGTTGGGAACCACAAATTCATCATGGCTAATTTTGCATACTTCCCTATGGGATAAAATAGAGGTTTGGGATTACTGGTACCACACATCTGAGATTTCCCATTGCCTATTCTAAGAGTAAGATCATCTCTACCTTATTGAATTATTTCAAGATTATACTCTGGGACAAGATCCTTTTTAGTATATGATCATCTACATCCTCTGGAGTCTGTCTCTTCTGCTGCATTGTAATCCTTTGAGCAACCCCACCTATCACTATCTACATCTAATGAATAGTGGCTGCTTTAGGAGTGCAGGAAGACCTATCCAGAGACATTCACTTTCCAGCCACTGATGCATTTACTATACTTGTCTCCTTTTTTTCCCCCTCACTGTACTGATAATTGGGACTCTTGGCCAGACTCCCAATAGACATTTGCATTAGTGCAGTGGTCTGGAACAAAACCTGCAAAAAGTTCCAAGGTAGGTCTTTATGGGAAATGACTGCTCACAAGTATGGGGTTTGTTTTGGGAGTTATGAAAGTACTCAAAAATTAGATAATAATGAAAGTACAACCCTTAAACATATTAAAAACCACTGAACTGTATACTTTAAGTGAGTAAACTTTATAGTGTGGGTTCAAAGAAGACTATTTTACAAGATTACTAAAATATATACAAATTCAACTTGTCAATTAAAAAACGAATAGATAAATGGGAAACAGAAAGAAATGAAATGCTGGCTTGCAGCCTGAGAGTATAGGAAAAAACTCAAAAACTCAAAGCATCCCTCAAGTTGAAGTCAAAAGAGCAGGGACAAAAAAAGAGGAGTGGGTGCTGGATACCTAAACAGGTCTTCACATGAAAAAATGTCTGAGGATCAAGCTCTAGATGACTTTTCTCTCAAAAACACTACCTTTATTCTTTTACAATAGTTTATTCTGCTTCGAGGAATAGATTAAAAATGATAGAGCAGGTGAGCCAACTCTTGATTCAAAAAAGAACAAAATTAACCAAAAACAACAATTCCAAGACACAAGAAAAGGAAGGAGAATCCAACCACAAGTGAAATATCCCATTACAAGGGAAACAAGAGAGCACAGAAATGTAAAGAACCTTTGTTACATGTCTGGGAAATCCCAGTCGAAGCATGAATGGGGGTGAGCAAAGGGGAAAAAGAACTCATTTAACTGATTTCACTCATCAGTGCCAGGAGGTTGGAAGAGCTTGTGTTATCATATTATTTAAATAATATATTACAATTGATTTTCTGCAAATGTTGATGTGTGTCATCTGCATTAGTTTCCCTTATTTCTTTTCAGGTGGGGAAATCTTTGACTCTTGATGCAAAAAACATCCAAAGCCTATGAATGACCAACAAATTGCTGCACTTATATTAAAAAAACTCGTGGCATGCAGACAGTAGGGTGAAGGAGAGTCATTTTTGCCTTTATTCTATCTGCATTTGCAGTGGAGTCCTTTAACAATTATGTAGCTTGTTGAATAACAGATTTTTAAATTTTTTCATTTAAAGAGAAAAAAAACAGAAAAAAAGGATAGAAATAATACAGAATTTCAGAAAAATGAATAGTAAGAAATCACCAGTTGATAAGTTACATTTTGTCATATTAGAAATAGTTGTTCAAGTTACAAAATTAAAGCGTACAAAGTTA